TAACTTCCCCTGTAAGTCAATACAGGAGCAGTGCTCTAGGGGGCGCCGTGCTACAGGAAGTGGGGCTGGTACGTAGCTGCCCTGAGTCAATACAGCACCAGCGCTCTAGGGGGCGCTGTACTGCAGGAAATGCTGTTTTAAGAACAAAACAAACCAGTTCCTGACTGCTTTTCCCAAGACTGGCTTATTTAACCAGGGATGTCCTGGCTCAAATCCAGCTCTGGTAACAGTTCCGCCAGCAGTTTCAATTAGCTCCACTGTTCCAGCCACTGTTACACAGTCGCTTCCCGCCCCCAGTTGGTGGCTTTCCGTGCTGAGTGACGGATCCTTATCTGTTTGTATCTCCCAGGGGCTGGGTGTGCTTAGAACAGGCTCCCTGAGCCCCATGTCTCATGCCACCGCTTTCTTCTCCTCCCCCCCCCCCCCAAAGCTTTGTTTCTTTTTGTTAACTTTTCCTTCGAGTGTGAGGCCCACTTTAAAAGCAGGTTCGGGGTCCCACTTGGATCCTTCACCCCCCTGTAGTTTCACCGCCTGCCACATCTTACGTTTAGCCTGAAAAGGCCTCAATGCCCAGCCTGTCTCTAAAGCACTACAACTCTCTGTGATCCTAAGTACCGGGGAGTCACTCCGCCTCGTTCAGGTTTTTGTCTCGCCCTCATCACCCCACAATATTTACCATATTTATCCTCATAACCCTCCAGAGAGGCAGGGCAGTGCTGTAATCCCGTTTTTCAGATGGCGATAAGGTGCGTAGACCAGTCTGTGGCAGAGCAGTGAATTGGCCATGTAGCCCAAGTACTAGGTTAGTGCTCTAACCACTGGGCCCTGTTCTGTGTACACCCCCGAAGCATCTGGCATCGGCCACTGTCAGAAGACTGGGCTGAATGGACCATTGGTCTGACCCACTGTGGCCATTCTTATGTACCAGGAGAGGTGAAGTGACTTGGGAAATCTTCTGTTCTTCATTGGGAAACCAAAAAGCTGTTGTTTTTTTGATGAAATCCCAATATTTTTTTGGGGGGAATGAACATAAGAGTGGCCATATTGGGGCACACTAGTGGTCTGTCTAGCCCAGTACCCTCTCTTCCGACAGTAGCTGGTGGTAGATGAACACAACCAGGGCAATTATATAGCATTCCATTCCTCTGTCATCCAGTCCCAGCTTCTGGCAGTCAGAAGTTTAGGGACACCTGGAGCATGGGGCTGTGTCCCTGGACATCTTGGCTAATAGCCATTGAAAGACCTATCCTCCAGGAACTTATCTCTCTTTTTTTTTTTTTTGAACCCAGTTATACATTTGGCCCTCACAACATCCCCTGGCAATGAGTTCCACAGGTTGACTGTGATTTATGTAAAGTACTTCCTTATGTTTGTTTTAAACCAGCTGCCTATTAATTTCATTGAGTGACCCTGATTCTTATGTTATGTGAAGGGGTAAATAACACTTCCTTATTCGTTTTCTCCACACTAGTCATGATTTTATAGACCTCTCTCCTATTCCCCCCCTTAGTTGTCTCTTTTCTAAGCTGAACAGTCCCAGGCTTTTTAATCTCTCCTCATTTGGAAGCTGTTCCATCCCCCTCATCATTTTGCCCATTCTAATAAATCTTTTTCGAGATGGGGGTGACCAGAACTGCGGGCAGTATTCTGGGTGTGATCGTACCATGGATTTATAGAGTGGTATTATAATATTTACTGTCTTACTATCTACCCCTTTCCTGATGGTTCTCAACATTCTGTTTGCTTTTTTGACTGCCACTGTATGTTGAGCAGATGTTTTCCGGGAACTAATCACCGTGATTCCAAGATCTCTTTTCTGGCATGATAACAGTTAATACATCATTTTGTATGAATAGTTGGGATTATTATTTTTTTCAATGTGCATTACTTTGCATTTATCAACATTGCATTTCATCTGCCATTTTTTGCCCGGTCACCCAGTTTGGTGAGATCCCTTTTGTAACTCTTCATGGCCTGCTTTGGACTTGACTATCTTGAATACCTTAGTATCAGCTGCAAACTTTCCCCACCTCAATATTTACCCGCTTTTCCAGATTATGTATGAATATGTTGAACAGCACTGGTCCCATACAGATCTTTGGGGGACATTGCTGTTTACCTCTCTTCTCTGTGAAAACTGACCATTTATTCCTACTCTTTGGTTCCTGTCTTTTAACCAGTTCCTGATCCATGAAAGGTCCTTCCCTCTTCTCCCAGGACTGCTTACTTTGCTTAAGAACCTCTGGGGAGGGACCTTGTCAAAGGCTTTCTGAAAGTCCAAGTACATTATATCCACTCTATCAGCCTTGTCCATATGCTTGTTGACACCCTCAAAGAATTCTCATAGATTGAGGCGTGATTTCCCTTTGCAAAAGCCATGCTGACACTTCCTCAACATATCATGTTCATTTGTGTGTCTCATAATTCTGCTCTTTACTATAGTTTCAACCAATTTGCCTGAAAATTAGGAAATTTGTCTTGAAGTCAGGCTTACTGGCCTGTAATTGCCAGGATTGCTTTTGGAGCCTTGTTAAAAAATGGGCATTACATTAGCTCCCCTTCAGTCACCTGGTACAGAGGCTGATGTAAGCAATAGGTTACATACCACAGTTAGTAGTTCTGCCATTTCATAGTTGAGTTCCTTCAGAAGTTGTGGGTGAATACCACCTGGTCCTGGTGACTTATTACTGATTAATTTATCAATTTGTACCAAAACCTCCTCTATCGACACCTCCATCTGGGACAGTTCCTCAGATTTGTCACCTAAAAAGAATGTCTCAGTTGTGGGAATCTCCCTCAAATCCTCTGTGGTGAAGACCAATGCAAAGGATCCATCTAGCGTCTCCGCAGTGGCCCTGTCTTCCATGAGCGCTCCTTGAGCATCGTAATTGTCCAGTGGCCCCACTCATTGTTCGGCCCACTTCTTTGCTAAATAGTTTCCTTGCAGCTTGCAGGCATTTCTCTCTCTTAATGTCCATTTAACTAACTTTCTCATTTTTGTTTAGTTCCCCTTTTTGAAGTTAAATGCTACTGAGATGTGGGTTTTTTGGTATTTCCCCCCTAGAAGGATGTTCATGTAATAATTTTATGGTTGCTGTTACTGGATGCTTCCGCTAACTTTTTGGATCTTGTGCTCTGTTTAGGACTAAATCAGGAATTGCCTCTCCCCTTGTGGGTTCCGGGACTAGCTGCTCCAAGAAGCCGTCATTAACGGCGTCTAGATATTTTATCTCGGCATCTTGTCCTGAAGTGACATGTACCCAGTCCGTATGGGGATTATTGGAATCCCGCCTTATTTGTTGGTTTTGGAGCGTCTCTAATCTCCCCCGAGCATTTCCCCATCACCTTCCTGGTCAGGTGGTTGGTGTATATTCCTGAAGCGATGTTCTTATTGTTCAAGCATGGAATTTCTGTCTGTAGAGATTCCGTGCCACAGTCTGAGTCACTGAAGATTTTTACTATGTTGGACTCTGCTTCCTTTCGCATACAGTGCCACTCTCCCACCAGCGCGACTTACTTGATTATTCCTATGTGTTTTGTACCCAGGTATGACTGTGTCCCATTGGTTATCATTGTTCCACCAAGTCTAGATGACCTCCTGAGGTCCCTTCTAACCCTGATATTCTAAGTTTCTGTGATTCCTATTATAGCAATAGCCTCATTTAATGCCACCCCTTAGTTCACCCATCTTAGGGCTAGTCTACACTACCCGCCCGGATCGGCGGGTAGAAATCGATCTCTCGGGGATCGATTTATCGCGTCTCAGCTAGACGGATAAATCGATCCCCGAATCGACGCGCGTACTCCCGCCTCGTCAGGAGGAGTAAGCGCCGTCGACGAGGGAGCTGCGGCGGTCGATTTGCTGCCGTCTTCACAGCGGGGTAAGTCGAATAGGATATGTCAAATTCAGCTACGCTATTCGCGTAGCTGAATTTGCGTATCTTAAATCGATCCCCCCCCCAGTGTAGACCTAGCCTTAGTGTTTAGACTTCTAGCACGGGTATACAATTTGTTAGTATATAATTGTCTGCCTTCCTCTGATGTAATTGAATGGGACTCTCTTTCGTTAGATTGTTTCTCTTCAGCTCCTGCCTGTACTTTACCAACTTTTACCCTCTCTTCTTTACTAGGATGCAGAGCAATGCTTCTCAACCAGGGGTACATAGGGGTCTTCCAGGGGTTACGTCAACTCATGTAGATATTTGCCTAGTTTTACAACAGGCTACATAATAAGCGCTAGCGAAGTCAATGCAAACTAAAGTTTCGTACAGACAATGACTTGTTTAGACTGCTTTATATACTATTATGCGGTAACGTAACGT